GCATTTCGCGCACTCGACACGCACGATCTCCGCAGAGGGTTGCGCGCGCACAGACCCAATCGCACTCTCGCCTGCATTTCGCGCACTCGACACGCACGGTCTCCGCAGAGGGTTGCGCGCACATGGGACAAATCGCACTCTTGCCTGCATTTCGCGCACTCGACACGCACGATCTCCGCAGAGGGTTGCGCGCACATGGGACAAATCGCACTCTCACCTGCATTTCGCGCACTCGACACGCACGATCTCCACAGAGGGCTGCGCGGGAACGGGACAAATCGCACACTCGCCTGCATTTCGCGCACTCGACACGCACGATCTCCGCAGAGGGCTGCGCGCACACCAGACAAATCGCACTCTCGCCTGCATTTCGCGCACTCGACACGCACGATCTCCGCAGAGGGTTGCGCGCACACCGGACAGATCGCACTCTCGCCTGCATTTCGCGCACTCGACACGCACGATCTCCGCAGAGGGTTGCACTTTCGGTTGACGCTGTTCGTCCCACCCTCCGCCTTTAAGAGAGAATTTATAAAGTGGGGAAATGTTTTTCATTAGGACATCTCCCGTGCAACTTTTCCATACTCACACTTGCATACTCATTGCACTTACATACTTGCCGTTGGATGCTTTCACTCTTCCACTTACACTGGGGTACGTATAGAAGTGTAAGTGTTCATGTTCAAGTGTAAGTGTGAAAGCGTAAGTGTTCAAGTGTACGTGTCGAAATGTCAGTGTTCAAGTGCAAGTGTGGAAGTGTCAGTGTGTAAGTGTAAGTGTCGAAGTGTCAGTGTTCAAGGGATTTTCCGGAAGAACCCTTCGCAATGCTTTCGGGAAAAAGTCTGTTCGATGTAATTTCTGGCTATTGCTATGACCCCCCGTGAAAGCCCACGCAAACGCTCCCCAAAGCAGGACCACATGAACAGTCACAGACTATAGTGTGTACTACAGTCAGATTGGTCGGGGCAGGTGCGGCCTCTCCAGACGCTGCAGCAGGTCGAAGCTGGATGCGACAGGATCACTCACCTGCGACCTGCGAAAGTCTGCAATGACGCTTCGGCAGGCCGAACAATCCCAGGTGCAGCCTTCAAGGCAATCCTCTTTTCCTTTTCGCGAGTTGGCAGTCCTGCAGATTTCGCAGTTTTGGGGTGAAACCGCTCGAATCGGTTTTCAAGACCTTCGGGTCCAGGTCTCTTCCATGGCTTGGAGATACATAACCGGGCCCGTCCGTACAAGGTTTGCTGCTCCCCAAAAAGGAAAAGATCTTTAAAAAAGAAAAGCTCCATTCAAGGCACCATGGAGTTGGAAATGCGACTGAGTCAACTAGAGCCACCACGACTTAGCCACCGAAGAACACACATGTGTTCCACGTAGGCACATGGGATGACCTGCCCAGGCCGAAAAAAACGAACCCGCGATGCTTCACGCGAACGCCTGGGCGGCGAGGGGGGGGGCGAGCGGTGGCGTTCGTGAGGAGGTCTGCATTTCTGGCGCATCACCATGCTGTCGTATGGGTTATGGGTCCCTCAAGATCCTCTGTTTGGTAGAGCGTTGTTTTTGGAAGCACCTAGCAGTCAAGACTACTGAAAAGCCCTTGAGGACCCTTGTATTTGTATTTGTCAGGAAGAGACTATTGGCTCGGTGGCTGACCCCGCCTCTGGTTCGAGACGCCAAAAGGCAGTGCATAGCTTGCTAGAAACCATACACTACCAGGACAACAGTCCAGAATGTTGTATCCTTAGGCCCTAAGCCATTATTGAACTGGGTGAAGGGACAACCCAAACTTCGCCTCCGAATGTCGGACCAGAACAAGTTTTCCATCAACTGAGACTCCCAGGTGTTCCATTCACCCCGTGATGTGGCTGTGGCTCACCCAAAATTGGACACCTGTCTTCGACTGGAGTCTGGAGGTTTAAAGGGTGCCCCATCTGCCGAGCCACCCTTTCCGCTGAGGGAACTAACCTTTTTCAGATCTAACGAGTGTGTAGGTGAAACTCTCAGTAAAGCAGTCAGGTCAATCAACAGTGCCAGGCCCGTGGAGTGTCACATGGTGGACGATTTTAAACAGCAAGCCTGACTAGCCCTTATATAATGCATTGACCCGTATAGTAGTATAGTACTGATTGATTTCGCAGTCCGTGTTCAGGCACCCAACCTAAACCCCAGAATTCCCACAACTTATTTGGGACAATAAAACGAGGCATGAAGAGCTAATGTGATTTGGACAGGAAGGTACTAGGGGAGGTACTAGGGGAACGCGTGTTTGGAAACAGTTTGATCAAAAAAGCGCAGAATCAATGCAAAACTAACCACAAAAAATGAGAGAGAAAAAGAAAAGAAAGTGGCAAAGGAAGCGCGAGTGTGACAAAAAAAGGACTTAGAAAGGAAAAGGTAAGTGACAAACCCCGCCATCCCTGCCAGTGTTTGCAAATTTGGTCGCTTTAGAATTGTCCTGGCGTTTTTGCTGCGTCTATTCTTAGCTGTTCACCCCATTCCTGATCCAAAGCACCTATCAACTCAACTTCTGGGGGTGCTCGGTGCTTTTCCCGTCGCCTTTTCGTCACCATCTTGTGCACAATGCCACTTGCCTTTTTTTGGTTTACAGTAGTTGTTTGTGCTTGTGGAGTTCACCCATTGTGATTGTGGAGTCTGTGGAGTCGCTGTGTTGATGGCTGTTATGTGCGTTCTTGGCGTGCGCAGGAAAAACATCCTCAGCCGCGGAAATCGGTTGTTTTTGCCAAATAGTAGTGGCATTCATGATTTGGAGAGCACATCGGCCAAACACCGCCCCACCTCATCCGTCGCTGGGAGGCAAGGCCTCCACACGAATGCTTCTTCCAAAAGTTGGTCCACTGAGGAATCAGTTGATAATGGCTAGCACGATGATTTGTAGACTCTAGATTCTAGATGATCAAGAGGTGGTTTTGATCGATCAAGACTCCACCATTACGGGACAAAGTAGCAGTAAAAGCCCCCTTTTTGCCATGTGGCGTTCCCTGCTCGGGCGGGCCCGAACAGCATGGAAAAGCACCAGCGGGTTTGTAGGAGCCAATTGGCATTCAACGTCGGGGGTGACAGCATTCGCGGCCAGATGCCCCTGTCAACCCCCGTCCAGTGACGCCTGAACCTCAAGCATCCAACATATAGAATCATTTCAAGTAGCTGTCAATCATCTCATGGATTTCTTCAAATGCTATTCAATCGGCCTGTTCAAAGGTCTCGTCACCTAGAAACGAACCGACACACCAATATGTATGACAAACGTAGACCGTAGACGGAAACCCTACCTGACTCCCAGCAGCACAGAAAGCACTCGCTGCTTTTTGACACTTATATATGGAGCACTTCACTGCCATGTGATGAAAATCTCGGAAGAATACAAAGAGGGTGAGTTTCTCACCGCGGCAGGGCTCCAAGCCCCAGACTCCGCAATTTCACCACCGGATTCGTGTTTGACCGCTGATTCGGTTTCGCCCACCGTCCCCGACCTTGTTGCCATGATCGCTCTTCGAGTTAATGGCCACGGCATTGTACGCCTTGTTGCTGAAATCCTGGCGGTTTCAGGGTCAGGACCTGCCTTTGGCAACTGGCGCTTCGTAGGAAGAACCTCCATCCAAGGAACTTCACCTCGACTTTGACCCATCTCCCTCCCATTCAGAACCCCCAAGGAGGAGCAGCCTTTGCAGCTGATCCGCACCGAGCCCGGCCGTCCCCATCCCCCCGGCCACCGACTCCCCCCGTCCTGCAGGCGCTGGCTGAAGTCGGGCCTGGACGCTTCGGCGTCGCCTGGCGGGGTGCGTTCGGAACCAACCGCGACATGGAGGACATGGTGAGGACCGCGGTAGCTGGCGGAAGAGCGTGTATCACAGGTTGTCACCTAGCTGGTATATAGACTATGTGACAAGGTATTTATATCTATCTATCTATCTATCCTTGTACCAGCCCATGCATTGCCTAGAGCCGCA